TCATTAGCTTTCTAATCAGTTCCAAACATCCACATATCGATCTTATAAATAAATGTAAAAACCTCCTCTAAGCTTGTTTGCGATAACTTGTCACATTAATTTAATTATCTGAGTTATAACTGAGTTTAAAAACAGGATGATGCAACTAGTTTAATGAAGAATCTGTCTCCAGTCATTAAATCAGGTGTTTATTTATTTATGTAGGTAAAGTATCTTTAACAACCTGTTAAAATACATTAGAAATCAGGAAATAGCTTCTAATTTATCCAAAATTTTCTGGGGGAGGACCCCCACACCCCCCTCCAGTGTGTCCTTTACACACATTATAATACTTGTGAGAGGATAAACCAACACACCTGTGCTCCACCTGTGTGTCTCTAACTATGGTTGATTGTCAAACTGTATTCTTAGTGAGTTTAAAGGGCTGGTACAGTACATGGTTGAATGAAGGTGAACATAATCTCAGTTAATATTGTTTGAGTTTTACTGCATCACAACAGAAACATTTGGTGTTCAGTTATCGACGAGTGCAGACAGTTAAACTGAGCACACACTGAAGACATGGACAACAGAAAACCCTGGTCGCACAACAACTGTGGGTGCGTCAGACCCCGTCCCCCACGGTGCGTCCCCACCAGCTTTCAGCACAAAGTTACGCCCATGCTGGCAGTCGCCTCGGGTCAGGGCCGGCTCCGTCGCCTCCCTCATGTCAGAGCTGCATCAGCACATTCTGCCTCATTGTGCAAAGCTCACACAACTAAGTCCCTGTTTCAGACACGCCAGCGCTCAACCACAAGACCAAAGTCATGCACCGTCCCAGCACAGTGACTGAGCAGCAGCCCTGCCAACAAGCTACCTGTTCAAACACGCAACGGGCCTAAAAATGCTCCCGCGTTACATGTTGTGTAACGTCTCAGGATTATTTCAATCGACTGGGCTCAAAGTTTCACACAAAGGTAGAAACAGCCTATAGCAGTGTTTTGATGAAGCATATGGCGCCGTCTCATGACAGGGGATTCCTCCTCGCTGAACGTGAGACACAAAGACGCACTGAGCTGCGAGTCAAAGCTGCCTGCAGGTGTCTCTCCACTTTAATTTCCTGCTCAAGCCCCGTGTGCATCCAAGAGATTTTCTGCAGCTGTCCAATGATCTGAACTGTTGTCAGCTTATCTGTCATTATTAATAAAAGCAAAAAAAACTGTGCTTTTTAATTATTTGGTTTCTCACAAGAACCGGAGCAACATATCAGCACAAATGCAACTGATCAGACCTCACGCTAAAGCTTTAAATGGTTTGGCAGCTAATTATATAACTGGACTCTTTGACTTTAACAACAGAGCTGAGATCTGCCACAGATGCTCGTAATGCAGCCGAGGCCTAACTTAAAGTGGATCAGGTTTTAACTCAAGTTCACTTTGAGTTACACAACACTTTTAAGGCTGTAGTGTATTTGTGTTTTAGTTTGTTTTAACCTAATTTATTGTACTTGTTGGTTTTTTTCTATGTGTGGTTTTGTTAAAATGTGTTTTAAAGATGGTTCTCCCTGATTTTTCCTGACCTCTTCCTCTTTGTGAAACACTTTGGTCACTGTCTTTGATTTAAACGTGCTGTATTAAGAAAACTGACATTGACCAAAAATTAACTCAAAAGCCAGCATCTGTGGATTTTATTTTGACAAATTGTGTCTGAGACACACACACAGCCTGGTTTTTCTATCACAGGTGGGACTTTGCAATGACTTCCATTCATTTCCCAGTCATTTTTACAGACTAACACCTTACCCTTAACCCTGAACCTCAACCTAACCACCCCAGTACATACCTAACCCTAAACTCACACCTCGATCCTTACCCCCCACAATCCAAAAGCAGCATTTGAACTCACGGGTTTGGGCCCCATAAAGAGCAATGTGTCCTAACAAGTTAGTGTATTTTGGGGATAAATGGGCCTTACAAAGTAAGAAATGCTGTGTGCGTGTTTGTGTGTTGTGTGCACACACATTTGCTTCATTATGGGAATCTTTTTTCTGACTCACACAGCCTTGTGGGAACCAAAGCTCAGTCCCTGCACAGGTACAGAAGCCATTTTTGGTTTGGGGGTCAGGTTTTAGACTAAGGTCTGAGTTGAGTTCAGGTTAAGATTAGTATTAGTTATGTACCAGTCCGAGGGTAGTTTTTGCTTTGGGGTTGGGGTTAGGCTTTAAAAATGATGGTTAAATGAACGGAAGTCAATGCAAAGTTCCCACGAGGATAAAGAAATACAAACACACACATATATATCGTGTCTTTCTGTATTTACAGGGACTTTTCACTGATTTCCAATAATGCTTTCCTTCCATTTCTAAAGCCTAACTTTAACTCTAAACGCAGTTCACACTTTGGTCCTACACCTAACCCCCAGCACTAAAACAGCATTTGAACTAATGGGGTCAGGGCTTTGGGCCCCATGAGGAGCAGTGGGTCCTCACAAGGTAGTATATTTTGGAATAGTGGGCCTTACAAGGTGAGAAATGCTAGAACACACACACACACTGTGTGCATTTGCTTCATCATGTGCACCATTTTTCTGACACACACCGCCTTGTGGGACCCATTGCTCCTTATGGGGACCAAAGAAGGTCCTCACATGGGTACGGATTACGTTTTTGAGTTGGGGGTTTGGTTAAAGACTAAGGTATGTACTGGGGGATGGTTTGGTTTAGGGTTAGGCTGTAGAAATGACTGAAAAATGAAGGTAAATCAATGCAATGTCTCCATGAAGATAGAGAAACATAAACACACACAGGCAATTACATAACTAGCCTTCCACAGCAGCATGTCATCCCAAAAAGGCAAAATCTGACGTTTACCAACTCATCCAGCCGTCCTCTGCAGACTGTTGTCACGCTAAATGTGTTGTAACTCAGTGGTTGTGACAGTGGCGTGGCTCGGTGATCAAAAGTTAACTACGTTGTTTCTGTTCCCTGCAGCACAAAAAACATCAAACAGGTATTAAAGCATGTTTTGTGACTAACAGAATAACTTCTGTATGAATAAGGGCTGCAGGCGTTCTGGTCTGAGGGGCTGACTAAAAACTTTGAAGTCTTTGGAGGCACCACAGGAAAAAAAACAACAAATAAAGAAGTCCTATCTGAGCAAGAGGAGGAGGATTTCTACCCCTGATTCTTTGCAGCATGAAGAAGGTGGTGTGGTCTCTTGGAGGCTGAGCCCTGCTGTGGTTGAACACTCCTCCCTGTGCGAGGGCGGATGTCTCCTCTGCTTATATAGCCCAGGGCAGCACCAACAGGATGTGCAGAAAACAGGAAGGGCTGTGGCACGGCTTCTTCTTCTTCTCCTTCTTCACACTCAACATCTGACTTCTGTCTTCAGCAGGTAATAAAAACAAGTGTCTTGTGTCTGTCAGTGCCTGTGTATGGGACTGCTTTACGTAGCATTAAGGCTGCAAGTTCCTGCAAGCCTGATGTTCCTCTGACACGAGCTTATTGTGGTTATGCTGATACCAGATGGCCATTGCATTGAAATAAACTGTTTAAGTCAGGGTTTCTAGTGTTTATTTAAAGTTTCTTTAAGGAAAAACAGCATAGATAAAGTCTTTTTTAAATTTTTTGTGGTGCTAACCTAACCACAGGTTCTTGCACAGTATTGTGTTTTTTCTACTGTTAGTGACTGAAAGGCTGTAATTATTTCCTCACTGTGGTGCAATAGCCCTGGACAATAAGATATGTACATGCAATCTAACTGCGGGGAAAGACTTCATCTCTGAAACACACCGCAGACTCATTGTCGTAGAGTTTGGCAGGAGGTGGGGCGGACACACCCAGCAACATTAAATGTTTTCTCTTCAGAAAGCAGCTGAGCAAATTACAGCTCTTGTTTTACAGGTTCTGCTGCAAAATAAACATAGGATTAACGTGTTTTCTTGGAAAGCGTTGAACTTTGGATGGAAGTGTGACAAAACAAAATAATGCCCTCTTGAAAAGCATAGCTGAATGCTTCCATTGGCTTTCAAAAGGCTTTGTGATGTGCACAACGAGCTGAGGCGGGGAATGGTTCCTCTATTCTAGTGTTGATGCTTTCTGAGCCACGGGCCATGTGTACATTCAGCCAGTCCAAAGAGGCCTCTGATGGTGTGAAAACGTGAATGTTTGACTTGAATTCTTCCTCTCCTCAGACCCGGAGCAACATGGCCCACAAAGAGTTCGAGAACGCAGGGAAGAAGCCCGGCCTGCAGGTGTGGCGGGTGGAGAAAATGGATTTAAAACCCGTTCCAACTCAGCTCTACGGAGACTTCTTCACCGGAGATGCCTACATTGTGCTCTTCACCACCCCGGCACCTTCTTACGCTCTGCATTCGTGGACCGGTGAAATCATTTTTCAGATCCCTCCTCACCTTGTTTATGGTGTAAGTCGTTCTTCTACTCAAACTTTTCTTTCGTTCGTTGCGCCGCAGGAAATGAAGCTTCCCAAGATGAAGCCGGAGCCGTTGCCATTTTCCTGACTCAGATGGATGACTACATGAAGGGACTCCCGGTGCAGTTCAACGAGTTTCAAGGTGAAGAGTCGACCTGTTTTCAAGGCTACTTCAAGTCTGGAATGAAGTACAAGGTAAAGAACACAACCCCCCAGATTGCATGTTAGGTTTGATTTCTACATGTTACTCCAAAGACTAAATTTTTTTTCACAATAAAGGCCAGTGTTGAACGGTTAAATAAAATGAGCTGACTTACAGGGAAGCAGTTCATCTGGAAGCTGTTTGGATTGTGGTAATCGACTTCCTGATGTTTCCATGGAAGGTTTCTCTGGAGAATCTGAATCAGACACACTCCGTCAATGCCAAAACACTAAATGGATAAATTTACGGACCTCAGAGCAGTTATGGAAAAACCTTGTAACTTTCCCTCTTTGCCTTTTTGCTTTTCTTTTCTTTTCTCTCACTGAGCACATCAATAAAAATAAAGAATACCAAGAAGGATTTCACAGCAGAAAAGTTCAGATAAACGTCTGAGCTGAGTGTGCCACACTGCACACTTTGTGAGAGAAGCAGGTGGAGAAAAAAACAGACGGCTGGGTTTATGGGGGTACCATGGTAAACTTTCTAGAATTGAACTTTTTTTCCAGGAAGTTTTGTGTTTTTGATAAAATTCCAGTCGTTCCAAGAATCAAGAATGACCCCAACAAGTTTTGACCTGTGTTCAGGCTCGTAGGCGTTAAGACTTTTGTTTGTTTTCTTTTTTCATTTTATTTTGAAGTTTACTTAGTAAAAAAACAGGAAGGCGGGAGCTTTTTGTGAACCATGAACTGTTGAACAAACTGAAATGCTTTAAAAAGTTTATTTCATGTAGTCTGTCTAGCCTGACAACAGACAGGTTTGGGCCAGATCTGGTGTCAAGCTGGCTCTGCTGGCGTGGCAACTGGTTTTTCATCAGGATGTGGGCCAGGTCTGGTATACCACAACTGGCCCAGTTATGGTTTGGTTTATGTGGTGCTGGCCCATGCATGGAACACCTCTGGCAAACCACATCTGGGCCACCAAAGGGCTGTCATTCTCTGCCGTACCTGTTCGCAGGGCATCAAATAGGCCAGGACTGCCCCAGTTTGGCTCATTCTTGGGAGGTGATGGAACTAAACCAGATGGTTGTAGGTGATGCGAGAATGGATTCGATGATCGTTGTGTGGAGTTGGATCATCAGGTTGAATTTCATTAAGCTGATTCAAGAAAAGTTGTCTTTTCTTTGCATTCTTCTCCCCTTATGATGCAGGAACTTGCATGGCTCCACAGTAGAAACTGGTGGTTGTTGTTGCACCAGGACACCAGATGCTTGACTTCCTTCCTTTTGCATTTGTACCTAATTGGAATCCATTTTTTTTCCATTACAGAAGGGTGGCGTGGCCTCAGGCTTCCATCATGTGGTGACCAACGACATGAACGTGAAGCGTCTGCTGCACGTTAAAGGTCGTCGTCTGATCAAAGGCACTGAGGTGGACCTGAGCTGGTCCAGCTTCAACAAGGGAGACTGCTTCATCATTGACCTGGGAAAGGTAAATTAAAACCAAAATTAGATAATGAAACAAACGTTGCAGTGTTTCACCACAACTTTTTTTTAATTATTAAAACAACAGGACATCTACCACTGGTCCGGCAGTGAAAGCAATCGCTACGAACGCCTCAAAACCACTCAGATGGCCAACGACATCCGCGACAACGAGCGAAAAGGCCGCGCTAAAGTGCACATGATTGAAGAAGGTTCTGAGCCAGAGGCTGTCATTCAAGTGAGCTTTTTATTTCCTAACTTTAAAGGGGACATATCATCTAAAATCCACTTTTTATATCCATTAAATACATTTTGTTGTGAACTTAGTTTCTAGGAGTGCAGAATGGTGCTGCATGAATACTATATCTATATATTCTGTTAGGTCATAGTTTTCAACATCAAATTATTTGCAACCTAACTTACCAATTAAAATTTGGTGGTCTTCAGTCTCCTCTGGTTCTGAGTCAGACTCAGGCTCCAACATGTGAGGCTGGATGGACAAGACTTCATCTTCTAATTCATTTGTAAATAAAATGTTTCTGCACTGCTATATAACCATAAACCCCTCTATCAAACTAGAATGGAGCAGTCCAGAAGCTGGAGGGGGGGGGGGGCATGAAGCCCCTCATTTGGATTTAAAGAGACAGCCTCAAAACGAGTTGATCTGAGGCACACCTCAGAAAAAGTGGTTGAAGAGGGGCTTGTGGAGTTACAATAAGGAGGAATTCAGACCAAAGCATTGAGGTTCCACTTTATATAGACCCCAACTGAAGGATTTAAATGCGAAAAAGAAGAATTTAAAAGCATCACATGTCTCCTTTAAACAGGAAACAATTACTATCTCTGTAATTTTTGTTGTTCAGTAAAAATCTTAGAACACAAATCAGCAGCAAAACTGCATTTTTATTTTAGGAACTTGGACCAAAGCCGGAGCTCCCTCCTGGGGAATGTGATACGGCAGAAGAAAAAACCCAGAAGACCAAGACATCTCTGTATCAGGTCAGTATTTACAGGACCACTGATCTGAATAACATACCCTTACTTCCATTTAATCATCGTGTTTTCAGCTCAACACTTTGCCAGATTGAGTCGTAGTTGTTTATGTTGAAATACTTCTCTGGTGTTTTAAAATTGTTGCAAAAGTGTCTCTGCAAAGTAAGGGTTATATGAACATAATAACACTTTTCAACTGATTTGTTTCCTGTTTAGTTCCATTAATGTAAAACAGGGGTCAACATTTTGATTCTAACATTGGATTCCAACAGAAGCTTCTAATTTGAAAACAAATTGACATTTTTGTCTTTTTGTTGTCTTGTTCTTTTTCAGCACAACAGTAAAACAAACCATCACCAAAAACCAAGCTTACACACATACTGCAGGTGTCCAACACTTAATTCTCCTGCACTAATGGTTTCTACTATAATTCAAGCAGAAATGAGATTTGTTAGCTACACTTTAGCCATTAGGCAGGTCTTTGGATGAAACCAGGTCACAGAAACACTTCAGTTTTGCTGCTTTTCCTTTTACTGGATTTGAATATCCTTTTGTCTTTCCATCCCCAATCTCTTAATGTCTAGTTTTTCCTCCAAAGACTAGAAGGTAAATTAAATAATCCACCTTGTTTATGTTAATCTTGATCGCCATCGTTCATATTCAGTCCACGCTAAACCACACCCTCATACACTCGCCCTCAAGGCACATTATTGTACATCCACCCTCAGTGGCTAAAGCCTGTGACCTTGAAAAAAGCTGTGAACTGAATAAAATCAGCCCCAATGAGCAGGAAACTGAGGAGGCAGAACAAGATGCCTGTCAGTCATATACCACCAAAGACATTTAATGAACAGGGCTGTGAAAAGTTAGCTCTTTGGAAAGACTCTGGGACTGTTTGGCAGTTTTGTTGTAAATTTAACAAAATGTGACAGTATTTTTAACTTGTGTGTAGGCTACATAAAACACGCATTATTACAGTGTATTTGATACAAAGTTATGGCTTCATTATTTCATTTTAGCATTAGTTTGAATAGAAATGTGTGTGATGACCTAATAATGCCACTGCCATGAACAAGCTGTCTTATTTTGCATATCATGCAGAACTAATAAAATATTGAGCAGACTTCTGAAAATAAAAAAATAATAAACGTATCTAAAAGAGGCTAATTAGCCAAAAATTTCATGACCCAAAACCTGCAGTACCTCCAGAGCCACTAGGGGTCGTGCCCATTGTTAAAAATCAGATCCACAATAGTTTTTTTTTAACTTGTAATTGAATTTCAGGTTGCATTGCATAAAAAATAGAAATATTACCAAAGGTGCACCAGAGGCATTTACATTATTGCTGTTATTTCTAGATTTCTGACGCCACTGGTAAAATGACCACAACGTTTGTGTCCAACGGTCCCTTCAAACAAAGCATGCTCTCCCAGAAGGAATGCTACATCCTGGACGATGGAGGAAACAACATATTTGTCTGGAAGGGTGATACATTTTTTACATGTTTTTTTATTTTTAAACCACTTTAGTTTGTATTGTTATGAATACAGAACTTGTTCAAAGCTCTGTGGTTCTTGTCCCTTTGGAAACAAATGACTCGTTTGTGGTTTTGACCAAAGTTTGATGTCTTGACTACAGGAAAAGATGCAAATCCAGATGAGCGCAAAGCTGCAATGACTGCTGCAAAGACGTATATTACAGAAAAAAAATACCCCACAAAAACAAAGGTAGACGTCCAGATTGCCATCCAAATCTCATCTCATTCTGTTAATAATCAATATTCTTTTTCGCCTTCGTGTTTCTGCCGAGCACAGGTGCAGGTAATTCCTGCAGGAAGTGAGACCACGATGTTCAAACAGTTCTTCTTTAAATGGCTGGAGGGCGAGGCCACAGGAAAGACCTACACTGTGGGTCGCATCGCGAAGGTGGAGCAGATTCCCTTCGACTCCTCCAAACTCCACAGCAACAAGGCAATGGCTGCCCAGCACGGCATGGTGGACGACGGCTCCGGGAAAGTCCAGGTAAGGTTTCTAAAAGTGTGCATGCAGAGGAATCAAGTAACAAAGTACAAATACTTTGGTACTTTACTGGAGGAATTATTTTTCAACCTAATTTTTACTTCCTTAAAAAATAGCCTTGTTAGAAATTATTTGATTAACTAACCAAATTTCAGTTACACACTTATTTCATCATTTACTTTAGTCTCTATTTAACAAGTGCCTCGCTCCAGCAATGTAATCACATAATGTTTTACATTTCATGGATGTAGAACTGTTTTAAGGGTACTTCCTTGTTTACTGTGACTTCATATCCCCTGAGACCAGGGTTATTATAAATATTGCAAGAACACGTGATTCGTGGCCGTTTTGTTTTAGGTCTCCAGAGCTGCAGACAGGCTCAGAGTGAAACGATTTCTTTAGATATGAAAATAAACATTCAGCTGAGAACTTGGTTTTTCTGCACATGATAATTGATATAACATTATAGTTAAGAGTGAAATGCCAACTCTAGGTCAGAGTCTCTGCTTAAAGTGGAGGAGGTTAAGTATCTGGGTGTCTTGTTCATGAGTGATGGTAGGATGGAGATGGATTGACGGATTGGGGTCTCATCCTCTGTAATGAGGGTGTTGCTTCTGGGGGGAGCTCAGAGTGGAGCTACTGCTCCTCCACATCGAAAGAAGTCAGTTGAGGTGGTGTTTCAGGCACTGGTAGGAGACCCCAGGGAAGACCCAGGACTCTGGTGGAATCCTTTCTGGCCTTACAATGCCTCATAGTCCCGGAGGATGAGCTGGGAAGTGTTGCTGAGGAAAGGGAGCTCTGGATTTCTCTCCTGGACCTGTTGTCTCTGTGACCCCACTACAGATAATCATCAGAAGATGGAGATCATAGCCACTGTGGCCTTTAGAAAAATTATTTTTCGGGAAGTCACTTCACAATAAATGTCATTTTTAAATTCTAACTGCTCATTTTTACTTAATACTTTTAATTGTGATACAGTTTATGATAGATACTTTAGGACTTTTACTCAAGTAATCTCCTTAGAGACTATTTTTTACCAAAGTAACTTATGGTAAGATATTTCAAATTTGAAAAACTGCATGCACATGACATGTGTTGGGTATTCACAGATCTGGCGTGTGGAGGGAAAGGATAAAGCAGCCGTGGACCCCTCCAGTTATGGACACTTCTTTGGTGGTGACTGTTACCTGGTGCTTTACTCCTACAATGATGGTGGCAGAACGAAGCATATCATCTACACCTGGTAAGAGCAGCCTTCTCTACAGTTGTGTGTTTAAAGTGGCAGAAAAATGGCAGAGTATATTTCCGAACAATTGATACAATTCCTACAGATCAAGGAGATAAATGCAAAAAAAATAACAACCTAATAGATGTTTAAGCCATTAGCTATAGAAAATATTAGCAAAACAAATGCATCCTTGGCCTCAAAGGGTTCATGTATCTGCTTTTGTCAGATCCAACTTTATGTTCTACATTAACCCATTAGTTGCTGAAATCTTGAGGAGTTTTTGATCACATGACGCTTACTGCAAACTTTATTTTAACTATAAGACAAGTGAGGGTTTTCTATGTGTCTGTTTTCAAGTCACAACTGTTGAGTGTCACTCATGTGGGTCATATGATCATCTAATTTTCTTTTTTCCAACCTTTTCTGCAGGATAGTCCACTTCAACTTCTCAACAAATAAACACAGATATTTAATTACTTAAAAAATCCTCAGCAAATGTGTGAATCTCTTTGAGACCTTTGAGACATTCTAATAAATTTAATAACTCACTGTGCTTGAAACCTGAACCAATCTTGTGTATGTGTGTGGTTTTCTTTTCTGCAGGCAAGGTCAGAAGTGTACTCAGGATGAGCTGGCTGCTTCAGCTTTCCTCACCGTCAAACTGGATGACTCCATGGGCGGAGTGGCCACACAGGTAAGAGGATGTTTGCAGGAGAGCCTTTCACTCTGAGGTGTAAACAGAAGGGTTGTCTCTTTGTGCTCCTTTTATAAATCTGATTCATACAAGACGTTGGATTGATAAAAAATAAGTGGAGTGAGTTGTCTATTGTGGAAAATACAGAGAAGACAAGAACTTAGAGCATAAGAACTTCTTATTTTATTCGTTGCTTATTTCAGACATGACTTTTGAGTCACTTTTCTTCCCACAGCTTTAGCAAAAAACATAATTACACACACGAAACACTTGATGGGTTTTAAAAAAATATCCTAACATTTTAGTGACCTTTCAAAAATCTATTGTGTTTTTACAGGAGCTGACAGTTGAGTTTTGCTGAGTCTGCACAGTCTATAGTGTTAAAAGTATACGGCAGGGCTATTCAATTGGTGGCCCGCGGGCCACATCTACCCCGCGAGTGACCAAAGTTCGGCCCAACAATTGGTTCATTCATCTCTTAAGCTCAAACCCCTGGTTTTCTACTTTAATCACTGTAAGCTCTTTTATTAAACATAGACATGTTTGGTATCTGCAGAAACATCAGAATAGTGATATTACTTACGGAGATTACGAATCTTGGCTATAAGCTGGTAAAAACCATTTCTATGAATATCTAAGACAGTTAAAACTACAAGCAGTTAAAGATAAAACTATGAAAGTGAAAATAAAATTGATTTAAAAAATGGCAAGTCAGAGATGTGAAAATAATATTTGTGTCAAATAAGAGGCATGATTTGTTATTTTTGTTTTGTTGTTTTATTTTCACTACTTTTATTACACAGGGTTGCATTTATGATTAAATGCAGTAAAATAAACTATTTCAAAGGTAACAGATCTTTGTAATGCGTGGTTTATTTACATAATTTTAATTGCTGGATGTTCGGCCCCTGAGTTGTTGGCCTGCAGTAACTGTGGTACCCCGGAGTAATTTAGTTGAATAGACCTGGTAAACGTCATAAAATGCTAAGATGATTTTTTTGTTAAGCTAAGTGTTAATACAGGAATTGATTAAACAGTTTGTGTAATGAGGATGATAGTTTTTTTTTAAGTTTTTTAACTTTTAAGTTTAATGCAGATAGAAAAGCTAGAGTTACTATTTGAAAATAACGAGATTTTATTCAAATATTTAGCCAACATCAATTTTTATCAAAGCATATAACCCTTTTTGTTTTGTTTTTTAAAGACTTCCTTTTGTTCTAATCGATGTGTTTCTTCAGGTCAGGGTCAGTCAGGGCCAGGAGCCCCCTCATCTCGTCAGCTTGTTTAAAAACAAGCCTTTGGTCATCCACCTGGGTGGGACGTCCCGTAAGGGTGGTGACAGCACCCCTGGCAGCACGCGGCTCTTCCACATCCGTCAGAGCTCCACCAAAGCTACACGAGCTGTTGAGGTCAGTTGTCTGTGCCACCCGAGTGTCTGTAAAGTGAAGTGCAGCATTCTTTTACCAGACTGACACTTTCACTCTGTTCCTCGCAGGTGGAACCCAAAGCCTCCTCTCTGAACACCAACGACGCGTTTGTGCTAAAGACACCATCTTCCCTGTTTGTGTGGAAGGGAAAAGGAGCGAGTTCAGATGAGACGTCGGCAGCTGAGTATGTCGCCAAGTTTCTGGGAGGAGCTGTCACCAAGCTGGATGAGACAAAAGAGCCAGGTAGAAAAAAAAAAGACAACTTGAATGACTTTTAGATGATGGTGCTTGTTTCTGTGTGTAAAGCTGCACATTTCTCCCTGATAACAGATGGTTTCTGGTCAGCGCTGGGTGGGAAGGGCAACTATCAGACCTCCAAGGCCCTGCAGAACGTGATCAGACCTCCTCGACTCTTCGGTTGTTCAAACAAGACTGGCAGGCTCATTGTGAGTGTTTAAATTTTCTTATTTTTTATCTTTATTTTTTACAAAGATCTCAGACCACCTGCATGTGTTGACCTCAATGTGTTGTTATTTCTTTATTCTACTACAAATTCTTGTTTTTGACACATAAAAACATTAATTACTTTAAAAATTTGTCTATGTTGGTTACATTTTTCACATAAGCATGTGACCATTTTGTTATTGATGCAAAGCATTCTGGGTATGATGATGATGATGATTTTGATGATGATGATGATAATGACGATGACGATGATTATGAAGATGATGATGATGATGATGATGATGATGAGTTACAGTTGAGACTAAAACAGAAAGAGTCAAGAATAAAAAGCTATAGTGAAGCTTTATCAGTGTGCATTGCATCCATTGCAATGCACACTATTGTGATTTGTTTCCTTATCCAAGTCATCTCCACTTTGCCATGCTTCTCCTCCAGCATGCTTTGTCCTAGAGCTGCCATTGTAATTTATATCTGTAAAGCTCCTGTGCCAAATGATGGCCATGCCTTTTGGTGCCTGTACAACTTATAGTTTTTGAAATATTAATGTTTAAAATCATATAAAGGCAGTCAATGGAGTATTGGTCCAAAACTGCCCCTGCTGTATCTACTCAATATGGTACTGCACCATAGTTTAATAATATTTACACTCAGTAGTTCAGTGATTACAAGACTAATATAATTGTATTTTGATGTTTGACTTTAATATTGTCCTAATAAAGCTCTGTTACTGTGATATATTGCAGTTTAGTGTCAACGATTGCATTGGCGATATGGCCTCTTTCTGCACACAGACAAACCTACCCCTGGCGGTGCTCTCTGCCACAGCTCCAATGGCTCATGGTCAACACTATGGGTTTTCATGTGGGAGATTAGGGTTCAATCCCAGCTATGAAATAACAATTCCATTAAAACTACATATTTTCAGATTGTTATATTCTCACACAATTACCCTCATTACAAATACCTGCTGACTTGACAGGCACAACCTGGTAGAGAAAACACATTTGAAAATGGTCACAATTCATGCTGCAGGCAAAGGCATGCTGTAATGACATGCTACAAGGCAATGCACACTTGTTTTTACATCGTAAAAACCCATGTCTAGTTTTCTATTAATTTCCATGTGCTGCACAATAGATAAATTGAAACGATCAACCTGACGGTGATATTTAGTGAATTAGCTCTGGATCTATCGCCATATATAGCCTATATGGCGAAAGATGTGTATAGCCTGTATACACTATGATTAATAGCCATATGGCTATATACTGTATACACAATGATTAATTKCAAAAATATCTTGAGATCAATCGCGGTTAAAATTTTTAATCTATGCCCAGTACTAATTATTACTAACTGATGTGGCATTAGCCTTTGAGCACCTGCTAAGCGTCATCATTTACCCAGAATCCTTTGTAGCATAAATAACATGACTACATCTATAAGACAATATATTCTTTTAATTTCTAAAAACTAAACAATGTATTTTTACAGTGAGTTTTTTATAGTTGAAGTATGTTAATTATATTAAATGATGTCTAATGTTACAACTAGTTGGAGTTTCCTTTAATGTGAGAGTTTATATTCTTGTTTGGTTGTGAATATATGAGGTTTTATAACCAAACGTGTCTTCATGTGCAGGCAGAAGAGGTTCCTGGTGACTTTACTCAGATCGATCTGGCCACAGATGATGTCATGATCCTGGACAGCTGGGATCAGGTCTGCTACAATGAAACACTTCAGCACTCATCTAAAGCCATCTCTCTCTTATTCTTTCAAATGTCTTGGCTCAAAACTCATTGGGTTATTTTAATCCTCAGATCTTTGTTTGGATCGGAAATGAAGCCAATGAAACTGAGAAATTAGGAGCTCCAAAAATTGGTATGAAAAATACTTTAAGGCTTTTTAGAGCAAATGAGAACAGAAATGACTTGAGTTTAAAATGTTTGTTTGATTTCCTCTCTAGCCCAAGAATATGTGGATTCTGACCCCGCCGGACGTCGTGGTGTCCCCATCACCACCATCAAGCAGGGCCAGGAGCCACCGTCATTCACGGGCTGGTTTCAAGCTTGGGACCCCCACATGTGGGACTAAGCTCATCATTAGAGCAGAAAGCATCGACTTACTAAACATCAGTAGTTGGATAAAATGCATAATCTTCACACAATGAGCTTAAGATTTTTATAGATGTAGATCAGATTTTAGACAAAATCTTATATGTCTGTGCTTTCAGTGTAACAGAAATACTCACCAAAGCTGAAAACTTACATATTTTGTGGCAATAAGCTGTTTTTCTTTTAATGAGGAACTGGCAAATAAAAATAATATGTGCTAATTTAAATGTCATATCCGTATTCTGGTTTAAATTTTAAAGAAAAATTAAGTTGACTCTAAAACAAATCATTAAAAGTTCTGAACCCCATGCTTCTGCTGTCTTGTTTTTTGTGTTGTTTGCAGATTGTTTGACTGCAACAATGAACTATCTTACAGTAAATCCTCTGCAGCAGCAGGCTGTTTTCTCTAAGCTTGATGCTAATCTCCAGGTTATGTGAACAAGCCTTCTGCTGAGTTGCAGCCTTGAAGATTACCTGCTGGGATTTTAAAAAGCCCCACCTGTTACATCACATCTTTTGTTCTTCTTCCTTCTCTGCTGCTGGGTCTGCAGGACAAAACTGGACAGGATGGACCAGAAGAATGTGCTTATCACCGGCTGCTCCTCTGGGATCGGCCTGGCTCTGGCAGTCAGGCTCGCAAAAGATGAGAAGAAGAGGTTCATGGGTAAATTTGTTTGATTTTCAGATTTTCTAGCACAACCTTCTGTCAGATTAAATAATAAAAAAGATGTTTGAGTTTTAATCTGTTACAGTTGAAACTGAGGTGATGAAGGATTAAAAAAGACAAAGTAAAAAAAATCATGACTTGTCTTTTTAATGAAAAGGAAGCCGTCTAAAATTTGAGGAAAGCTCTTATTTATGCTGTTTGTTCAATTAAACCATTTATGCATGATTTTTCCAAAAACTACAAAACTTTACTTAGATGCTATGAGAAACACTATTTTTAATTTAAAGAATACTAAATTACGCATATGAATAAACAGTTTAGTACTTCTAACAACTTGCATTTATTGTAAACGTCTTTGTTTTAATAAACATGTTTTGAATACCAGTCAGAGTCTAATATTTAACAGGTTTTGAAAAAAAATGACACTTTGGACGTGAGAATTTAATTAAATTCATAACTAATACTATTCTAAACTTTGGCAAAGCTAGAAAAGTATAAATTGATTTATTATCTCAATTAAAAGTACTGACAGAGCACATACCTAAGACCGCGAGGTTATGTAATTGAGTGTGCAGCTGCTGCTCTGTGATTGGTGGAACAAAGTTCTGCTGGATGCTGATTGGCTCTGGCAGATGTTGTCAGATCACTATCAAAATTTAAAGAGTTGTTCTTTGAGACGACTCCAACATGCCATGAAGACTTCATGAAAATCTGTTCAGAACTTTTTGAGCAATTTGTTCACAAACAATGTGAATGCTGAGAGCTGAATTACTTGCCTGAAATCAGCTGAAGGAGTTCAAACAAGCAGAAGATGTGCAATAATAAGCAAAACAGAGACTAAAAATGGCAAAAAAAAATTTGTCTGATTTCAATATTGAATCTATTAATAGTCAGTTACAAGCAGATCTTCAGACATTTCATGGTTGGCTTCAAGATAATCTTTTGTTAATTAATGTTAAAAAAAACTGTGTGCATGTATTTTTCCTCACCCAGGAGACATTTCAATATAACAAATCAACTCACTTTTTTAAACAAACCCCTTGATATTGTCACTACCTACAAATATCTTGGAATTACTTTGGATTCTCATTTGACTTATCGTGATCATGTACAAGTCTTAACCACTAAGTTGAAACAGAAATTATACGTTTATTCAAAAATTAGATCCAATCTGACATCTTCTGTTTCAAATATCTATCCTCATGCCATTATACTCTCAACCATGTCGTACTGTTTACCTGTTTGGTCTCTTACAACAAATGAAATCTTAGAACCCATAGTTAGGCTCTACAACAGGGCCTACAAAATTCATAAAAAACTTCCTGGTTGGACTCATCACTGTACAGTTCTTTCATTGTCTGATGCCTTGACTTTTCAGAATTATGTTTTGTATAGTGGTATTAATTAATATTTTCAGATCTTCCAAGGTGCCAATTATGGAACTCTCTGTGCATTGCTGCCCAAATCAAATTCTGGAAGTGGTCATTCAACTAGATCTGTTACAAAAGGACAACTGATATTACCAACTTTTAAAAACTGTTACGGCCAGATATCTTTCTTCTATGTTTATACTAAAGCATGAAATGGCATTCCTCAAAACATAAAATCCATTTCAAAACTGCAGCCTTTTAAGAAGAATCTTGTCTGCCATCTGCTGGACACTTTTTTTGTGCTCATATTTAGACGTCCTATTTTGCAAATGCTGCCTTTTTGAAATTTGGTGTGCTTATTTGTCTTTGTGTCTATGGTGTATAATGATGTGATTGTGATGCTGTAATTCTGAGTGTTTTATGTGCTGCAGAACAAGAACCTGCTGTAAAACAGCAATTATGCTGAGTCAGGCTTGATTTTTTAGTAATATTTTCCTTTTAAACCAATAAATCAAATCAAATCAAAAGCAAGCTAAAAACTAATAGTGGCTAATATTAGCTGAAAGCAGCAAAACAGTAGCTAAAAGGTGCATGTCAGATGATTTAACAACACAGATGATAAAATTAGCAAAACTTGAGCTTAAATTAGCAAAGTAGAAAGCTAAAACTAAAAAAAACAGATGCTAAAATTAGCAAAACAATTATTACATTTAACAAAGCAGCAGCTAAATAGCAGGAAAAGGTTATGAACTGTTATGAGCTAAAACTAGCATAATGGAGCAGTAGGAAAACTGTAGCTCAACGGTAAAAAATAGAAAACGCAGCAAAAAAGGCTAAATTGTAGTTAAAAGCCAAAAAGGACAAATTTGACAAGAAGCTAAAAGTAGCTTAACAGTTGCTAAAAGCTTTTGTAGCAGAATGATAGTTAAAAGCAGTAAAACAATAAAAATGCTAAAAGTGGCATAATAGTAGCTAAAGGTAGCATGAGAAGACAAAAATAGAACAAATATGCTGAAGCAGATTTCAAAGAAATAAGTGTTTGAAAATATATTTTTTATTTTCCATATTAAAATTTGTTTTCAATAAAGTTAAATACTCTTTGAAGTCACAAAAATCTATATTCAAGACACAGTGGGCCACATGCAAGAACATGTTCATATTCTTATCCTAAATTTCTCTTACTTTTGTTTGTATGAAAGGTTCGTACGAACATGTCACGTCAGATTCAACAAACTCTTCTCTTCAGGAAAAGTGTGTAAATGAGCTGCGTAAACTAATGAATGCTTATCAGGTGCACATGCACAAGGTGAGGAGATTTACCTAATTACCACCCCAAAAACACCAAATAAGGCTATGTTTCCTGCCACACATACCAGGAAGTGTCCATTCACAAGTGACATCGCAAAGTAAAAAAGAAGAACTTTACAAGTTCGGAGATCAAAGTTCTGCTCTTGGAGATCCACAAAAAAAAAGTCATTTTTAGCAGCGTCAGCTGTGGAATTAAAGGAGCTGCTTTAAAGCCGAGGAATGAAATGACTGCTGCTGTCAATGTTGTGTCTCCTGTGGGTCGTACAGTCAGAAATACAAATCTAAATCAAATTTATCTCTCTCTGTAGTCCTGCTCCACCTTTTCTTTGATCAAATATTTTTAATTTAAGTGTAAACAACTGTGTTACATGGGTTTCACTTATTCAGAGGAACAGTCGCGTCCCCCCG